TTAGGTATGGATTACATCTCAATGTAAAGAAAACAAAAATCCTCACCACTGGACCAATAAACAACATTCTTATCAATGGAGAAAAGATTGAAGTTGCCAAGGACTTCATTCTTCTTGGATCAACTATCAACACTCAGGGAAGCAGTAGTCAAGAGATCAAACGACCTATAACATTAAGCAAATCTGTTGCACAAGACCATTTTAAAGTGTTGAAGAGCAAAGATGTTAGCTTGAGGACTAAGGTGGGCCTGACCCAAGCCATGGTATTTTCAATAACCTCATATGCATCCAAAAGCTGGACAGTGAAAAAGGAAGACTGTAGAAGAATTGATGCCTTTGAGTTAAGGTGTTGGAGGAGAGTATTGAAAATGCCATGGGCTGCCAAAAGAACCAATAGATCCTTTTTGGAAGAAGTGCAGCCAGAGTGCTTCTTAGAGGCCAAGATAGCCAAACTTTGTCTCTCATACTTTGGACATATTGTCAGGAGGGACCAGTCGCTGGAGAAGGTTATCATGTTTGTTAGGGTGGAGGGTCAGAGAAAAAGCAGAAGACCCTCCAATGAGATTGATTGGCCAAGTGACAGCATCGATGGACTCAAGCATGGCAACAATAGTGAGGTTGGGCCAGGATCTGGCAGTGTATCATTCTGCTGTGCATAAGGTCACTATGGGTCGGTACCAACTCGATGGCACCTAACAGCAACAACCATCTATCTTTACATATTTCATTATAATATTTGGCTTTGTCTTCTTGAACTGCCCTCTGAAATTTCCTATTCCACTCTTTTACATCCTCATTTCTTCCATTTTCTCTAGCATCTCTACACTGGAGAGGAAGTTTCAGAATTTCTTCTGATATACATTTAGGTCTTTTTTTTCTTTCTTGACTTCTTAATGGCCTTCTGCTGTCTTCCTGTATATTCTTGATGTCATCCCACAACTCTTCTGATCTTCTGTCACTAGTGTTTAATCTGTTCTTGAGATGTAATCATCATATTTTGGCTCTCATGGGCTTGCTTTAATATTTTTCAGCTTCAGCCTGAACTTGCATACTAGGAACTGATGGTCTGGTCCACAATCTGTCCCTGGCTTTTTTAAAAAATGATGATATGGAGTTTTTCCTCTGTCTATTTCCACAGATGTTGGCAATTTTATTTCTGTGTATTCCATCTCATGAAGTCCATGTGGATGGCCATCTTTTATGTTGTTGAAAAAAGTTATTTGTAATGAAGAACTCATTGGTCTTTCCAATTTTTATCAAGTGATCTCCAGCATTATTTCTATCATGAAGGCCATTTTTTCTACCTACTGATCCTTCCTTTGTTTCCAGTCTTTGCATTCCAACCACCAGTAATTATCAATACACCTTGAATGTATGCTTGATTGATTTCAGACTGAAGATGTTAGTAGAATTCTTTAATTTCATCATTATTGGTTTCAGTAGTTGGCTACATAAATTTGAATAATATTTGTATTAACTGATCTTTCTTGTAGGCATATGGATATTATCCTCTCACAGACAGCATTGTACTTCAAGATAAATCTTGAAATGTTCTTTTTGATGAAGAATGTGAAGCCCCTACTCTTCAATTTGTCATTCTCGGCGTAGTAAACCATGTGATTGTCAGATTCAAAATGACTAATACCAGTCCATTTCAGCTCATTTATGCCTAGGATATCAAAGTTTATGCATTCCATTTCATTTTTGACAACTTTCAATTTTCCTAGATTCATATTCATAGCAACTCTGTATGTGGTTTCTCAGGAGCAGCTGCTAGGTTTGAACCACCAACTTTGTGGTTAGCAGTCCAGTGCTTATGCTACAATGCCATACCAGAACTCTTAGATATATATTGTTTTGTTTTGTTTCTTATTGTTTTCTCTTTTTCCTTTTTTTTTTTTTTTACTTCAATATAGCATATAAACAAAAAACAGTATAAATCCTAAGTGTTAACTCAATGAATTATTATAAAATAAATACAACACTGTAGCCAAATACAGATGAAGAGTGAGAAAACTATCAGCACACCAGAATTCTTCCTTCCAACTCACTTCCCCTCCCTCTTTTTCATAGGTAACCACTATCCTGTCTTCTAGCAGCATAGATTACTTTTGCCTATTTTTCACTCACTGAAAAGAAATGGAATGATTCATTTGTATTCTTTTTTTCTTTTCATCCTGGTGTTGTGCTACACGATAAGAACTAGACTTCTAACCACAAAGTCAGAGGTTCAAATTTATCAGTTGCTCCTTGAAGACTCTACACAAGGTCACTATGAGTAAGAACTAATTTGAGGGTACCATATCTGACACTTAGTAGGATGTCTGGATATTTAAGTTAATCAATGAACAACAACAGCAGCCTTCTTTTTGTATCTGGACTTTTTTTTTTTCTTGTAATATTTGTCATGTAAATCCAAAAGGGAAGAAGGGTCGAGAAGACAAATAAAAGTATGTTGAAATGCATATGGAAAATATGTAGTACAGAGGGGAAATTGATGATGGCAGCATTCACATGGCCATCTGGAAAAGAGAACTCACCCAGAACCTGTGTCAGGATCCCAGCAAGCACTTCCTCCCCAACTCAGCTCTTCTGAGAAACAGAGATCCCAAGAAGATGGAAACCATTGTTATTTATTCATTGATTCACTCAAACATCTAGACATCCTACTAAAGTGTCAGTCAGGTATGGTTCCTAAAGAAACTAGTAAACAGTGAACTACAAAACACATGGCAAGTGCTAAGAATTTAATAAATAATGCAAAAGAAGTATATTCTTTAAGAATCATTGTGACCATTTCACTTTGGTTGCCCAAACATTGATAGCTCTGAAATTGGCTTACAAGAATGTAGTCATCATATGTGACTTTGCAATTATATTTATTAGCTTTGTACTGATCGGTTTTGTCTCCTCAACAACTGTAGTCTCTTTGAGAGAAGAAAAGATGTCTTCTGGTATAAAAAAAGAACTAAGTAGTTGGAATTAAGATATCTAGGTTTGAATCTTGTCACTATTATCTTTTAGCTGTGCGACACTGGGGAAATTAGTTATCTTTCTATGTCTCAGTTCCTTTGTCTATAAATGAAGATAACAATATCCATCCTACCTTCCTTAAAAGATTGTTGTCTGGATTGAATGAAATAATGTATAAGAGTGAGCGATATATCCTGTAAACCTCTATTATTGGTTCTCTTGCCTGCACAAGCCTATTATGTTGGGGATGCAGTAGGTAATCAATAAATGTTGGGCTGCACCTGTACATCACCAAAGACATGAAGTCCTTGGGGTTTGTGTAGTTCCCTTTCTCCTCCTACCTTATTCCCAGAGAAGCCAGAGTCCTGTGACCCAAGAGTGACAAGTCATGTGAAAGGGAAAACTGAGCTAGGATCATCTGAGCCAACTGCCCATTAACCAACAATATCAGGCATTTTGTTGGAAATGGAGTCCCAGATTGTCCTTTTCAACATTTCCCTTAGCCATTCCACTGTCCATCATATACGTAGATGTCAGATCAAAGAGCTCCCATAAATTGGCTGTGTTGGGGGGAGGAGATAGGAGAAAAGGTGTGCCCAAGGGGAGTTACAGCAGCTTCTCTTTTGTGTTCACAGGGAGCATGGTGACACAAAGAGACTCAAACTCACTGATGGTGAACGGAGTTCTGGGAGAGTCAGTAACTCTTCCCCTGAAGTTTCCTGAAGGAGAAAAGATTAACTTCATCTTCTGGCTTCACAATGCAACAGTTATTGCCACCATATATCAGACTGAAGCAGAAAGCCTACAAAACAATCTGTTTGACCTAAAACGGAAAGACCAACTAACTTTTAACCAATACTTCTTGCGAATCAGCAACCTAACAATGGAAGACATGGGAACTTATAAGGCCCAGATAAACTCAAATACTTCTAACAAATTTTTTCATTATAGTCTGAGGATTTTCAGTGAGTCCAAATGTGGGATTTAATTATGTATGAATGAAAAAATAACATATTTCAATCTTATGTAACTGCAAATATGCATTATAACCTATGTGAGATCCATGATAAAGGCACTTAGTAACATTTCACAGTCAGTTAGTGACTGATGATAAATTCTAAGTCTTAAGATTCCCAACTCAGAGTCACCTCATCCAACAAATGGTCTCTTGCAACCTGAAATGTAGCAAAAGTAATGGAAATGAAATATCTATGATATTCTTACCTTTTGCATTACAGGTATGGTATTTAATTCTCATAATTCCAAGAGATAGGTACTATTCGCACCCCTGAGGTATAGAGAGGTTAAGGAGTTTATTTATCATCACAAAGTTACTAAATACTGGAGTCAGGACTTGAACCCACAAGTTCGGCTTCAGAGGCTTTCTCCATATTTACCTCAATCTGCAGAAAGTCTAGTCAGATCCAATAGCGTGGTTAGCTGATGACTCAATATCAAAAGAAAATCTTTCTAGCAATCAGCGACGTTCAAGATGCTGTTCATGAACAGCCTCAGGAGAATCACTTAGCAGGGACATTTTACAGGAGATTTGAGCATTAAATTAGTAACCAGACTAGATAATTTTAAAGGCCATATGATATTATTGGAATCCTGGTGTGGCACTGTGAGTTAATGCAAAGCCGTTTGAACTACAAGCTCGGTGGTTCAAGCTCACCAGTGGCTCCTTGGAAACCCTATGCAGGGTCGCTATGGGTTGGAACTGACTCAATGGCACTTAACAACAACAACAAATGATATTATTGTTGCTGGTGATTATTAGTGCCATCCAGTCAGTTCTGACTCATAGAGATCTTGTATAGTGTTACCAAGGAGCACCTGGTAGGTTTGAACTTCCAATCTTGTGGTTAGCAGTACAGTGCTTATACTATAGCACCACACCAGGACTCCTATGATATGATTGTTGTTGTTCTTAAGTGCCATCGAGTCGATTCTAACTCATAGCAACCCTTTATAGGGTTTCTGATGAGCAGCTGGTGAGTTTGAATCACTGACCTTGTGATTCAAACCGACCTGGAAGTCCATACCTCTATAATTCTTATCCAGTAAAGAACTCATGTTACTATTATTGTTAAGTGCCACTGAGTCCATTCTAACTCATAGTGATGCTGTATAGGATTGAAAGGAGCAGGTGGTGGGTTTGAACCAAGTTTTCAGTTCATAGTCTAGTGTTTATCCTATAGCACCACACCAGTACTCCAGAGAATCCATAATGTCTAAAATTCACTCAGAGTCTTTCAGGGTAATACACAGTTTCAAAAAACTACTGTTAAAATAAAGTAGCTTTACAAGTGGGCTATATGCTTTTATTTAATAACCCATGAGTAATTGGCAGTTTTACCACATTAGAGTCACCAAAATCATGTTCCTAAAAAAATAGGACACAAAACAAGTCAGAGTTATGGGAAAGAAAGGAAGTCTGGAGAAGTTCTGAATAGGTGATTCCAACCAAAGAAGAACATTCTGAAATCACCCTGGGGCTATGTATTTGTTTCTTGGTGGTGGTAATGTGCCATCAAGTTGGTTCTGTTTCATGGCAACCCTGTATCGGGTTTCCAAGACTGGAAATCTTTATAGGAGCAGTAAGTCTTATCTTTGTCTGCCTTAACAAGTTGCCATAAATTGAGTGGCTTAAAATAACAGAGGCTGATTATCTCACAGTTCTGAAGGCTGGAAGACCTAAATTGAGGTGTGGGTTGCACTCCTTCTGGAGGCTCTTGGGGATACGCCATTCTTTACCTCTTGCATATCTGATAGTTGTTGGCATTCTGTAATGCTCCTATAGCTGCATCATTCCAATGGCGCAGAGTCAGACCTGCCTCTGTGGTCACATCACCTCCTTCTCTACTCTGTGTCTCCTGTCTATCTCAAGTCTCTCTCTTTCTCTTATAAGTACATTTGCCACTGGATTTAGGGCCTATCCAGACAATCCAGGGAAAGTTCCTCATCTCAACATCATTAATTTAATTAGACCTGCAAAGACCCTTTAAGGTAATATTCACAGGTTTCAGGAATGTATGGCATGGTTGTATCTTTGAAGGGACTATCATTCAATCTACTACTGGCAGGATTACCCTGAGTACAATGATCAGCAAAGCAGTGCTAGGACCCTGGGAAAAGGAAAGACACATTTAAAAGAAAGTCCTAGCATAGACCCCATCCCAGGCTCCAACACACTTATTTAGACAACGTTCTTTGCCACTCTTGAGAGTATCAACTGTGACTTTTCTCTCAATGACCACATTCTTGAAGCTCAATAGTAATCCTGTTCCAGAACTTCCGGAATACCCCTTCTTCAAAGGCATATGCACATAGATGTATAAGTTATGTTAACATATTTTACAACAGTCCAAAAGAATTCTAAATTATAAACTACACAGTTTTAGTTTGATTTGGTTTTTAATTGACCAATGATTTCCCTCTATGTTACAGGCTAAAGATTGAAAATCAATTTCATTTTATAGACCAATGCCAATTAGTTGGCAGTGACTATCTAGGAATCCTGAGACGATGCTGTGGAATAAGTAGTCGACCGCGAGGTCGGTGGTTCAAACTCACCATTTGCTCTTCAGTAACCCTATACAAGGTTGCTATGGGTCAGAACCAACTCAACCGCACTTAACAACGAGAACCACAACAACATCTAGAATTTAGTGTTATGAAATATGTTGAAGCCACATTGAGTTTACATGTATTATTTGCTGATGGCAGACCATGTACCAACCACTACTCTAGGCACTCAGGACACATTAATGAACAAAACATATAGTTGCCATTCTGGGTAAGTTGTAGTTGGGAGTTCATAGACAATAAACATAATAAACAAATGGTAAAGTGTATTAGAAAGCCATGAGTTCTGTAGGAAAAAGAAAAAAAATTAGAACAGAGTAATTCAGGAAATTCAGGGAAAGGGTACAACTTGAAAAGAAGTAATCAGAGCATATTTCATTAAAAGATGGTATTTGAGGGACAGATATCTGGAGGAAGAGCCATTCAGCATAAGTAATAAAGCTCTTCTGTGCCTGTCTTGTTTGAAGAATGTCAAGGCTAAACATCAATTAAGCAACACAAACAATTATTCAGAGTATATAGGCCTTAACATATAGAAGCCTTGTGTCACAGCAGGTTAAGCATTGGACTACTAACTGAACTATTGGTGGTTCAAACCCACCACTCTGTGGGAGAAAGATCAGAGAGTTTACTTCCATAAGATTATAGCCTCAGAAACTCTATAGAACACTCTGTCCTCTAGGGTCGCTGAGTAGGAATCAGCTCAGTGGTTGTGGCTTTGGCTGTGGTTTCCATAGGCCATAACATACAACAGAATGTTAAATGGAATACAGAATGACAGAGGGGAAGGACACTTTGCATAGTGGGCTGAATCATTTGCCCTTAATTGGGGTTTTTTCTCTGTATACAGGACGACTGAGAAACTTAAAAATTACCAGTATCTCTGTATCACCTGGTAATAAAACCTGTGAGATCCATCTGAACTGCTCTGTGGAGTGTCCAAATGACGACGTCTCGTTCACATGGCAGCCCTTAGGAAAGACTGGTCCAAACCTCATCATCTCCTGGGACCCTGGGAATTCCAGTGAACATAATTCTTACACCTGCATAGCTAAGAATCCTGTCAGCAATGTATCCTCCTCTGTCTCTACCAATGGTCTCTGTAAAGGTAACAATTTGCATCAGGCCTCTCCGAGAACCTTGACCATGTGTGTAGTGTGACATGTCTGCACACTCCTTGCCCTCTGTGATTTCCAAACCAATGGTACAGTGGAGGCAACCAAAGGCTCCTGGGAGAAGGCCAACACCCTCTAAAATTCTGTGCCCCCAAGAGGCTTCTCCTTTTCTCTCTTTCTTCTTTCATAGCCTCTCCCCGAGTCCTTCCTCTAGACCCTGTACACTCAGAGCTCAAGAGCAAAGGCCTCAAGAAAGTCAGACCACTTTCTCCCACTGATTATATCAGGTCTCAACCTGCCCTGCCTGCCACCAAGGACTCTCTCCCCAGAAAGCCTGTCCAGAGCCCCAGTGCCCCTGAGTCTAGATAAACCCACACAGCCCCCAAAGACAGCCTAAATGAGGCTTGGTGGAGGCTCTGGGAAAAACACTTGTGTTTCAGTGTGTCTCAAGTGCCATTTCCATTTTTTCTTTTTTCAGATGATACCAAGAACAAGTCATTGAATGCCTACTTGGTTTGGATTGTGATTTCTGTGATAAGTATGGTCACCGTCACCGTTGCTTGCACGTTTGGAGGCTGGCTTATTTGGAGGAAAAACACAGGCAGGTTTTTATTCCTAATTGTCTCTTCTCCAAGGTTCCAGGGGCTCTGGAGCTTCTGCTTCTGAGGATGTTTCATAGAGTTCAGGTGAAGGAAGGATGCAGCCCCTGAATTGGCTAGTTCACTGGGATAACCCCTGGGGTGTGACCACACAGCTGCTGATATACTGATGGAGATGTCCTACTGAGAAACCCAGGACTCAGCCTCAGGACTTTCCTGCCTTTCTGTTTCTGGTGCTAGGAAGAGTCTCTTCTCCCACCGCATCCTCTAGAAAAACACCCATGGGGTAGGAATGAAAGACTTTCTCCCTGCAATCACAAATTTTAATTTTCTGATTTTATTTTTCAGATGTCTTTCATTTCTCTGCTTCACAAAACCAGTGTCCTGGTGAGTTTCCAGATTCCCAATCATAAAACAGATGGGAGAAAGTAAATGGAAAAGGAAGGGGATCGGCCAGAGGGCTAAGGGATGACACAGGAAGGGTCACAATGTCATTACTCAGACAGACCTCATGCGTAGTGCTAAGAGAGATGACTTGTAACTGTGTACACTTATCTCCTCTGGGACCTACAGGGCTCCTCACAATGATGTCAACCCAGTCACACAATGCAATTTCTTAGAGTGGGATTAGGTCATCCTGTAGATGGAGAAACTAGAAAACCAAAAACGAACCCACTCATAGCAACCCTTTAGGACAGAGTAGGATTTCCAAGGCTGTAAATCTTTACAAAATTATACTGGCAACTCTTTCTCCCATGGAACTACTGATGGATTTAAACCACAGAATTTTTACTTAGTATGAGCATTTTAACCATTGTGTCATGAAGGTTCTAAATGCTAGTGAAAAGGGCTTCTAATCTGTCCATTATCAAACAGCAAGTGCAGGACAAGGACAAGAGTAAACCTCAAACCACTAAAGGTAGAAAACTAAACTGCCTGACTCCTGATTCACAGCAACCCTCTGTGTTCAGGGCAGAGCTATGCTCCATAGGATTGTCAATGGCTGATTTTTTTTTGGAAGTAGATCACCAGGCCTTTCTTCCCAGGCACCTGTTCATGAGTTTAAGCCTCCATCCTTTCAGTGAGCAGTTGAGTGTGGTAACCATTTGTACCACCCACAGATTCCTGTATAGATAGTAGTATTTGGTTTCAGGTGTTTCTTGACCCACATGTGACTCTAAAGGTTCAGAGTACCTGAGATGGGATCAAAACCAAATCACATACCTGAGAAAGTTCTGATTCAAGCCAGAATTCCAAAGACTGTCAAAATGAGTAAAGCATAGGGAAGAGCAGGTCCTCATACAACTGCCTCACTGAGGTTGGAAAATGGGGAGCAGTCTCAAAGTCCTTGTATCCCTGACTGTGCCTTCCTGTGTTAACACAGAGATTGCTGGGAACATAGAGTATACGCCAGTGGCTCCAGAAAAGTCTGTGTATGCTCAGGTCAATCTTCCACATACGGTGAGTTCTTGCCTTTTGATTCATCACTATCTTTAAAGCAGTCATTAACCACCAGCAGGACTCCTGGTGTGGCACTGTAGGATAAGCATTGGACTGCTAACTGCAAGGTTGGTGATTCAAACCTACCAGCCACTTCTCAAAAATCTTAGACAGGGTTGCTTTAAGTAGGAACCGACTCGGTGGCACTTAATAACAATCCACAAGTTGATCTCCACAATCATCTGACTTAGCCAAAAGATGTATGCCATTAAGGGGAGAAGAGAAGAAGGCAGTGAGTAACAGGTGCTGCAAAGTAATGTATATGATTATCCTAGATCTCATCTCTCTAGCCCCTCATGGAAAGTCTACTCATACTCTGCTTTACATTATTCCCTAGCCACTTATTACACCAGCAAATCTTGTCTCTTCCACTTAATTACAATCTGCCTTGTTGCAAATTATGTCTTCTTTCTCTTCCTCTATATCCTAGCGCAATGCTCAGTAAATACTTAAATTAAGTTCAAGCATTTCCAAAGAAACAGTTCTGTAACAAGGACTTTCCACTCTGACTATGAGAAAATTAGGGTTACTCAGAGTTAGTTCCAGAACAAGGGAAAAGAAGCAAGAACTTGCAACTCCTACTGGGACTGGAGGAGTCCTGGTGTGGTGCTGTGGGTTAATGCGCCAGACTACAAAGCCATTTGAACTGCAAGCTCAGTGGTTCAAGCTCACCAGCTGCTCCTCAGAAACCCTATACAGTGTTGCTATGGGTTGGAACCAACTTAACGGCACTTTACAACAACAACAACTGGGACTGGGGAGTCCTGATGTAGCATTGTGGGTTAATGTGCCAGACTGCAAAGCTGTGTAAACTGCAAGGTCGGTAGTTCAAGCTCATCAACTGCTCCTCAGAAACCACATACAGGTTCACTATGGATCAGAATCAACTTGATGGCATGTAACAACAACAACAACAACTGGGACTGGAGGCTCAGGACCAGTTTCAGGGACACCATGGTGTATGGGTATGGCATAACCCACAAACACTGTTCTACATCCTACTTTTGTGAATATGGACAGCGATCTTAAAAACCCATGCATGTCCATCTAAAGTGCAACTATTGGTCTTTCCAAATATGGAGGAAAGAAGAATGATGAAAGCTAAAGACACTTGGAAACAATTAGCTAATGGATTAGTGGAACATATAAACATCAGTCACTATGACCCTGAGAAAAGGATTCCATTAGAAAATCCTGGATAGAGTGGGAGAAAATGTGGGACAAAGAAGAAAAATAATTTTAAAAAGACCAGGCTTACAGGTCAGAAAGAGATTGGAGGAACCCGAGACCATGGTCCTTGGCCACCCTTCAAGTGAATTCACTCTTGTGGCTCAGTATTCAGACAAGCAATAAATAGTCCTACAAGGGGACAACAGCACTAGTAAGATATGCACACTATGGGATGGTCAGCCATTCAAGTTCAAAAGGAGAGCATTTACCTAAGGACAAAATGCAGAAGGGCTGGGAAAGAAGGTGGAATGGAAACAAGAATCCCAGGGAGGAAGTGGAATAAGTGATGCAGTCACTGAGAGAAAGTGTCTGCTTTGTTGAGTGTAAAACTGATCAGCTTCTCTGTAAACCTTCACTCAATTCACAAGAAAAAGTTAAAACAAATAGAAAACACTGAAGTATTTACAACACCTACACAGAAGGAGGGAGTCCTGGTATAGTACTATAGGATAAGCACTTGAACAAAAGATCAGTTTGAATGGCAAGTTTGGTGTCTCAAATTCCCAAGTGCTCCATGGAAACTTTGTACAGGGTCACTATGAATTTAGAGATCATCTGAAGAATAGAGTTGATACATTAAACACTAAAGACAGAAGACAAGAGAGTTGTGGGATGATTTCAAGAACATCATATATGAAGAAAGCAAAAAGTCATTAAGAAGACAAGAAAAAAGGGAAAAGTCAAAATGAATGTCAGAAGAGACATTGAAACTTGGTCTCCAGTGTAGGGAAGCTACAGCAAATGAAAGAAATGAGGAGGTCCAAGAGCTGAACAGGAAATTTCAAAGATCGGCTTGAGAAGATAAAGGCAAATATTACAACAAAATGTGCAGAAAACCAAAAAGGAAAAACATGCTCAGCATTTCTTAAGCTAGAGGAAATAAAGAAAAAATTCAAGCCTCGACTTTCGTTATTGAAAGATTCTCTGGGGAAATTACTGAATGATGCAGAAAGCATCACGATAAAGATGGATGGAATACACAGAATCACTGTACCAAAAGGAAATGGTTACTGTTCAACCGTTTCAAGAGGTAACATATGATCAAGAGCCAATGATACTGAAGGAGGAAGTCCAAGGAGCACTGAAGGAATTGGCAAAGAACAAGGCACCAGGAATTGATGGAATAAAAATTGAAATCATTCAAGAAAGTGAGGTGGTACAGTAATCACTCACTCATCTATGCCAAGAAATTTGGAAGACAACAATCTGGCCAACTGACTGGAAGAGATCCATATTTGTGCCCATTCAAAAGAGAGGTGACCCAACAGAACGCGGAAATCATTGGACAATCTCTTTGATATCCCATGCGAGTAAAGTTTTACTAAAGATAATACAGAAATGGCTGTATTACCTTTAGTAATACCGACTCATAGTGACCTTATGCACAGTAGAATGCAACACTGCCTGATCCTGTGCCAACCTCACTACTGTTGCCACGCTTGAATCCATCGATGCTGCCACTTGGTCAATCAATCTCATTGGGGTCTTCCTCTTTATCTTTGACCCTCTACCTTCCCAAACATGATATCCCTCTCCAGCGATTGGTCCCTCCTGACAATATGTCAAAAGTATGAGAGACGAAGTTTGGCCATCTTGGCCTCCAAGAAGCACTCTGGCTGCACTTCTTCCAAAACAGATCTGTTGGTTGTTTTAGCAGCCCATGGCACTTTCAATATTCTCCTCCAACACCATAACTCAAAGGCATCAATTCTTCTATGGTCTTCCTTATTCACTGTCCAGCTTTCACATGCATATGAGGTTATTGAAACTACCATGACTTGGGTCAGGCGTACCTTAGTCCTCAAGCTGACATCTTTGCTCTTCAACACTTTAAAAAGGTCTTGTGCAACAGATTTGCCTAATGCAATACATTGTCTGATTTCTTGACTGCTGCTTCTGTGAGTGTTGATAGTTAATCCAAGAGGAAGGTTGTGCTCTTTGATCTTCATCAGTAAATGTTTTAAGTCCTCTCCACTTTCAGCAAGCAATGTTGTATCATCTGCATATCGCAGGTTGTTAATGAGTCTTCCTCCAATCCTGATGCCACATTTTTCTTCATAGAACCCAGCTTCTCGGATTATTTGCTCAGCATACAGGTTGAATAAATACAGTGAAAGAATACAACCTTGTCACACACTTTTCTTAATTTTAAACCATTCAGTGTTTCCATATTCTGTTCAAACAACTGCCTCTTGGTTCAGGTACAGATTCTTCATGAGCACAATGAAGTATTCCGGAATACTCATACTTTGCAATGTTGTCCATAGCTTGTCATGATCCACACAATAAAAAGTCTTTGCATAGTCAATAAAGCACATGTAAACATATTTCTGATATTCTCTGCTTTCAGCCAAGATCCATCGGACATCAGCAATGATATCCCTTGTTCCACAGCCTCTTCTGAATCGGCTTGAACCTCTGGGAATTCTCTATCAATGTATGCACGCAGCCGTTTCTGTATTACCTTTAGTAAAACTTTACTCTCATGGGATATCAAAGAGATTGCCCAATGATTTCCGCCTTCTGTTGGGTAACCTCTCTTTGGAATGGGCACAGATATGGATCTCTTCCAATTAGTTGGCCAGATAGTTGTTTTCCAAAATTCTGGCAGAGATGAGTGAGAGATTCCTGTGCCACCTCACCTTCTTAAAAGATTTCCATTTTTATTCCATCAATTCCTGGTGCCTTGTTCTTTACCAATTCCTTCAGTGCACCTTGGACTTCCTCCTTCAGTGTCATTGGCTCTTGATCATATGCTGCCTCTTGAAACAGTTGAACATTAATCATTTCCTTTTGGTACAGTGACTCTGTGTATTCCTTCCATCTTCTCTCTCTCTCTTTCTCTCTTTTTTAATGCTTTATTGTGAATTATATGTTAGTTTAGAACATTAGCTTCACATTCATCCTATCACATATCGTTTCCTTGCCATGGTTACAATCCCCTCCATGCATCATCAACCAACCAACGGGCATACCCTGCAAGCCTGCCCCCCCAGTCGTCAGCACACAGCCCCTCTCCATCTATGGGTTCAAAGTTTCCAGCCGCTCCATCTCTCCATGTCATCATCTCTGCCTCCATCTTTGGTATCACTGCTTCTCTGGATAGGGTCTCACTCTCCACTCTTCTCCCCTGCTGATCTCAGGGACCTCCGCTTCTAGACAGCAAAGTTAATCACTCCCTTCATTTTGCTACAAAATGTCTACCTTTACATTTCCAACCGTTATAATCGGTCCTGATTACAATTATTCACTATTGCATCACAAGAGACCTATCCACAACTATTTTCATCAGCCCCGCCTAACAGATTGGATACTATTCAGTGGAGATTCTACCTTTCTCCACGCCCTCTGGATCTAGACTCCCTCTTGAAAGCTTGTAAACCAGTCAATTCTTGCCTCTGTAGCCCCTCCCCACCCCATTCTGGGTAGCCAATGTCCAGTTGTCCATCCCCATCCACTCTGTGCATGGAAGGCGTGGAAATGATCCTCGCTGTGAAGATTCGTTCCCTCTTTTGGGCTACTGCAGCCATAGGTGTAGGTCAAGTTCATCAATTGTATCAGATTACTCTTTTTTCCTCTACTTTCTTCTTCTAGTTGAGCTCTGATCATCCAGTCATTGAAGCCTGGTCAAGTGGGTACTATCTGCAAGTGTGGGTGTTCTTATGCATGTGCTCTCTCTTCTTGTCAGCTGGACACTTCACTCTCCACTTTAGTCCTCTGTGGCTATGTCACTGACTTTGGGTTCAAGAATCCCCAGGTTTTGCCACACTGCTGGCCAACCAGGTCTCCAGCCAGGTTCACGGGATTCTATTGAACGTTGTAGGACTTAGCTCGCAGCTTCATTGCTGCTTTTCCCTCACTTCCCCTTATTGGGGATGAACGTGGTTACCAATCAGAGCATGTATTCCCACTGAGTCTTAGTCTTAGAAGGAGGTTTGCCCTGAGGGGACCAGGCCACTTGCCTTGAGGTCTCCTGGGCATGCTTCTTGTTTGTTCTTGTAGTAATCAGTCGGTCTGCCTATATTGTTTTGTATTTTTCCTGTCAGTCTTTCTTTCAAGAAGTATCGTCTGTTCTTCTGGCCACTCCAGGGTGGTCTGCTTGTTCTTTCCAGTAGAAGTTTCCCATCTCAGAAGATTCTGGATGCTGTTCAGGATTCCACCTATGGTCTTATGTAATGCAGAGGTCCTGCAGGAAGCCTCCTTCACTGGGCACGT